TATGTATGTATGTATGTATGTATGTATGTATGTATGTATGTATGTGTGTGTGTGTGTGTATATGTGTATGTGTGTGTGTGTGTCTGTGTATGTATGTATGAAGGTCGACAATCGGCGCTTGAGTTGCTCGTCTGCATACACAATTGTTTTGTTCTTAGAGCAACAAATATATCTCAGTTACAACTTAAAACGAATGAAGCATTGCTAAGTATATGAGAAAAGTAAAACAAACTATTTAGATTCGACTTTACCGACGGAGATTGAAGCGCTGAAAGGAAGCTAAAGGAGACACTGGAGGAGAAGGTTTTGGACGGAATCGCAGCATTCAGGTTATTCGCGTACGTAAAAAAGACTTTTAAAATAAAAGAACAGTGACGGAGAAATATATTCATTTAACTGATACCATACTGAACCTTTTGTCAAGATCTTGTCGAAGGATTTTCAATTACTAGCACGAAAAGTGCAAATTTGTGAAACTCGCAATCAATGTTTGTGTTCGTACATACTAATTGACTTTGTATACATACGGTCGGTCGGCAATAACAAAGCAAAAGGACTAAGAATAATTAGTGGAAAAATATGCTCTCGTCGTTATGAACTATCAAGGGTTCGGTAAGAGTACTTAAAGAAGTGTTGTATGTAGATTAGTAGATTAGTCAAATGGGCCGGCAAATTGTCGACCGTGACTCAGTGCAGTGATGCGGGCTCGACTGGCGACCCGCACTTCGAAATCGAAAAAATATATATACATCGTAGCCGTGCTAATCGTAGCTAGACTCCGAATTGTAATACTAGATGGTACAATTATTTCACTTAACAGTCTTGCCCATTTTTGATAAAATATGAAGCACAAATACCCCAAATATGTTTTCACAGCGCTCGAAACCCAGCCAAACGTCTCTTGAGTGTTTTGAGCAATGTCCTTTAATGACGTCACAAGAAGCCCGACCCAGATCCCGCTATGCTCGGTCGTGGGGCAAGAAATTACAACTTTAAATGCCTGTAGAATCGCGGGGATTTTATCAATCGAAATAACTTTTTCGCTGAAGTAATAGGGCAAACTAGTAGATTTCATTAAAGGAAAAAAATTGGGGGTTTGTTGCACTTTAAACATTTCTTGGCTACAGTAGACTTCTCCTATCTAGAACACTTGCTTATCTCATTCATCTCTAACAGAATAAGACTTCCCTAAATAATATTTACGTTTATTTACTGTTCAGTCACAAGCCCGCCTTCTCGATCAAATATCTGATTTGTTTTTTTTAAAAACATAAAAATAAAAATAAGCAGCAATTAGTTGAGTGGTACAATTACACTATAGTGATGCAAACACTGTAATCTAAACTCATCTCATACGTAGGAATCTTGAGCTCGCCATCTTAATTTGTTATTTACATCCGGTAGCGCTAAAATCTCATGCGCTCTGCGATGCGTTACATCCTAGGTAGTAAAGCGGCTTTCAATGTATGCCTTCTCTGGGTTACAAGGTTCCTCCGCCATTCCCCAAGGTCCGCAACTGCCAGCATGTCAATTTCTGCCAATGCCGAGTGAAAAGCGACTTGTCGGTCTGGGGTTTGTTTAAATTGATGAAATCAGTGATTGCCAAGGACATTTCCTGAAACTGCTCGAAAGTCGAACAGTGACAACTTTCTTTCTATCCTTTGAAAACTTTCAGGCCAAATTTCATAGCCTTCTGTGTATTTTCTGGTACAGCATCTTCTTGTATTCTCAGGACACTGGCGAAACGCGAGTTTACGCCGGCCATTTTGCTTTTGCTTAGGTCATGCATTATTCACTCACTAGGAGGTGAGGAGTACTCATTAGTCCGAGATAACGAACCAATCAGATTGCTTGAAAAATCAAGATCGCTGCGTGTGCATATATAAAGGGTTATTTTATTACCATGAGTCCCGGTTCTTGTACCTGGTTCTTGGTACTCGTCGCCAA